GGGATGGCCCTGCCTCCCCTCACCTCCTGCTGCTCTGGCCTCTGGACACATCAGGAACTCAGGAACCTCTGTTGCTGGTGTGGGTTGGGGAGCAAGGACCCCAGCCAGGAGCATTATAGAGGTCGGTAACCTCTGTGGTAGGCAAGGTAGGGGCAGGGGACACTGGTCAGAGAGGGATGCCAGGAAGCCACCGACAATGCCATACCCTTTCCTCTGCACCTTGGACCTCCCCCATGGTATTGTCAAGACATGCATGTTTTTGTACCTGTCCCCACCCCAGCCAGGTTGGCTTCACAGGGCAGGGACAGGCTGTTCTGTCACTGGCCATACCCCAAGGCCTAGAAGAGCACATGGAACATAGGAGGTGCTCAGAGCACATTTGACCTGTGACAGCAAGAATGGCTGAGTATGTGATGACATCTCAGGGCCCTACCCACATGGACTGATGGGGACACTGGGCTCCAGGGCTGGTTGGATCTACCTAGAGCCAACAGCCTAGCCCCAGCCCACCTAGCCCCAGACTGCCTGATACCAAGCACCATCCCTGTTGCCAGGATACTACCCCTGAATTCTGGGCAGGACCACAAGGCCATGGTCACCAGACACCTCGGGCAGAAGCCCTGGGCCTGCCGGGCTCTCCCTTAGTTTGGTCTGAGGCAGGGTCTAGTGCTGGAACCCCTGCTGGCCTGGGAGGACCAGAGTGGGCTTTGAGAGAGCTCCCTCATGGGATTCCTGCTCTTGAGCCCACCCATTCCACTCTTCTGGGAGGGCTCCAGGAGATGCCCCCAACCTTGATCCCTAGCAAGGTGCTGTGTGGAGGGGGTCCTACCACAGCAAGCCACCCCTTGGGATTCTGCCCACATGTGGCTCCTGCTAGAACAGCCTTCCAGGCAGGCACTGTCCCTCCAAGTACCCCAGACTCTAGCAATGGATGGGCACGGAAACTCTGGAGAGCCACCAGTGTTCTGCAGAGGGCCTGGCTCTAGCCCTATCTACACCCCTCCCCTGCTATTCTCACCTCTTCAGTCTCCAGCAGGGTGGGGCTGTCAGTGCTGGGGGCTGTGAGGAGTTGGGGCAGGGTGGAAAAGTGAGGGACCCTTATGGGTTGAAGGGGCTGCAAGGGTCGAGAGATCCCCAGACCCTCACCTTGCCCCTACTGGACTAGAGTGAGGCGATTGTGGGGGCTGGACGCAGGCACATCCATCCATCCATTCTTCCACTCACTCCACAGACATCTATGGGATGTCTAGCTCCAGCTAGGCTTGGGGTCAGGTTGGAGAAGGCAAAGTGTTTTTAGGAGCCTGCCACTCCTGCAGACTGTAGAGGTAAAGGGAACCTAAGGTGAGTTCCCAGAGCACAGCTGGATGGGGCTGACACTGGCTAGGGAGATGTGGGGAGTGCCTGAGGACCTTCGGTTGTCTGGTCCAACAGGATTGGCAGGAGGGGTGCAGGCAGCCCAATGGCGCCCCCTGCAGGTGGATTGGCTCAGGGTGTGGCATGGCCAGCGCAGCAGGGGCTTGGGGCAGGGAGCCAGACAGGGGTGTGCAGCAGCCCCCCAGCCTTGGCTGGCCCTTCACCTGTGCCCTGCCCTGTGATCAAGCCCCAGGGAGGACTTGCTTCAGGCAGAGATCTGTCCTTCGCCTCATCCAGCTCAGGCGGTGGGGACTGCTGCCCTGTGAAGATGTCCCCTGAGGGGACAAGGGACATGGGCTCAGCCCACCCGGGGCATCCTGAGTGAGAGGGTACCTGGAGCTTGGATTTCAGTGTCTGGTCACAGGGGTACCAATGCCACCCAAGAGTCCTTCCCAGAATGTGGGTGGCCAGCTGGGAGGCCCCTCTGGGCACATGCAGCCCTCACTGGCTTAGACTCTGGGGACAGTGAGATGTGTCATTTCCCAGGGTTCTTGGTGGGTCAGGGCAGGGTAGGGGTTATCAGATGATCCCTGGAGGCGGTGGGAATGCCTGAGCTGTGGTTGGCCATTCTAGACAGTTTTCCTGTGCCCCAAGCCCATGCTATGCCCAGAGGACTCTGTTCCCTGACCCTAGAGGGAGGGCCTGAATGAAGATGTGAGTGATGGCACCAACTGGGAGAAGCTGGAGAAGCTGCAGCCACTGGCCTGTTCAAAGGGTCTTGAATAGCCCAGGGAGGTGCTGAGGGCTCCAGCCCAAGGTGGTCTCAGAATGATGCCCAGCAGGCCTAGGGTACCCCTCCAGAAGTGGGAAGTGGCAGCTTTGGGGAGAATAGATGGGTAGGGAGGGCTGTGGCTGCACAGCTCTGACTTCAGGGTGTGACCCTGCTGGCCTTCACACACCATTCCCTGGGTGTCAGGCACCGATCTTCACTGCTCACAGTCCTGGAGGATGGAAGTTTGGGAGCAGGGTGTGGTCCTGGGGAGGCTCCTGGACTACCAGCTCCTCCTTGCTGTGTCCGCACATGGCAGGGTGCTATGGCCTCTTCCCCTTCTTGTGAGGACACTAACCCCATCAGGCCATGGCCCAACCTCAAGACTTCCCCTAAACTTATAGCTCTCTGTACTGGCCTCCACATAGTGGAGAGCCCACCAGGATCCCTCACCTCCTGAAAGGGTAAGCATGTGGTTGCTGCCATGCCTGTGGTCACCACTCACAGCAGTGAGCACTGGAGGCAGCCCCCAGGGCGGCTCCCACTTCTCGGGTGTCCCTCTCCTGGCAGGCAGCCCCCAAGGCACTGGCTGCATGGATATGTAGGGGTACAGGGCCGCGGAAGTCCAGACCCGCTGCTGTGTGCTCGGTGCGGGTCATGTTTACCAGAGGAAGGCCAGTGCCAAGGCCCCCGCCCGGCTGCTCGGCCTCGAGTTAACTCAGGCTCCAGGATAAACACCCATTCAGCCGCACAAGGCCCCTTTGTCCTGGGAGCAAGGCTCCCGGCCTGTGTCCTCGGCACAGCCCCAGGACAGGCCGGCTGCCCCAACACGTCCAGCGCCCTACATGGCCTTCTCCAGGCAACTCTTGGCTCAGTTCACAAAGGCCCGGGGGATCAGGCAAGCAGGGCAGGGTAAGGAGGTCCCAGCTGCCACTTCTTAGTAGACGCTAGCCCAGTGGAGAGAAGTGGGAGCTTATAACCATGTCGCCCAGCCCACCTGGATGGACATGCCTGTGGCAAGTGGGGACATGAGAGGCAGTGCTGCCCATAGGTAGTTCTCCAAGCCATGGGGCAGCTGATGAACTCTAGAGGCCCCTCCACTTGTCTACCCATCCCAACCCCAGGCTGGAGAGGAACTGCCCATACCCTGCACTGGCCTGGCCACTCCAGCCAAGGGTCACTGGTCTCAGTGGACCTGGGCAGGCTGCCAGGGGCCCTCAGCCAGGGATGACCATCCTTTATCCAGGATCAGGGGTGAGATGGTCCCAAGTTGGGAGGTGCCACAGGGATCTGGAACATAGTAGGCCAGGAGGAGGGGAGGGAGGCCTGGGGGAACACTCTGCCAGCCCAGGTGCCTGCCCAGCAGTGCCTGGCAAGGGCTGTGTCTTGCTGTCCTGTACCAAGCACTTCCTTCCACATGGGTTGAGGACAAGCCTGCCCCCCCCCCAAGGGATTATGAACATCCCAAGTGCCCTGGTGGGGCCACCAAGAGGCTGTAGGCCTTCCCACTACATACCCTTCAGCCTCCGTGGTACTCCACTCAGATGGCTTCTCAGTATTCAGCCCTGCCCCTCATTCACCTGGTCCGTGGCAGGCAGTGACCCCTGGTGGCAGCCAGGCTCATTGCTGCTGCCTACCCAAGGATCAGTCCTGGGTCTGGTCACCAGACCCAAGTCCCAGGAAGGCTCCTAGGCAAGTACCCAGGACCGTATCTGCCCAGCCTCGATGCTCAAACTCTGGAGTGGCTGGGACCTGACCTGGGCCACAGGACTGTGGCAGGATGCAGCTGGGATGAGAACAGCTAGCCTCTCGGATAAGAAAACATGGCTTCTGTCCAAGTTTCCTCCTCAGGCCTGAGCTGGGCATGGCTCACCTGGTAGTCCTGGGAGTCTCCACTGGCCTGACTCTGGAGGACAGTGAGACCCAGGCCCTGCAACACCATTCCCCAGGACAAGTCAGCCATGCTGCCCCCAGCCTTGCAGCAGATACTTGGGGGCCCCTCTGCTGGTTCTGGGGTCTGGGGGCCAAGGCTCAGAGCCCCAGCAACCCTTTTGCCTGAGTTTAAGAGTCCCAGGCTGGTCCCAGAGCACATGTTCCAGAGTCTGAAACTAGCAGGGGTGCTAGACACAGACTCACTGTCTGGATGGAACTTTCTCAGGGAAATGTGTTGGCTGTTAGACTTCTCATATCATTGAGGGTAGTCCTGAGAGTGCTGACTGTCCAGGTGCTCCCTGACCACACCTCAGGATACTCGCACCCACTAGTCCACTCTCATACACACCAGCCCCATTAGTTTTTGTTTTTACATGAAAACTTGAGTCTGGGCTTGGTGTCTGTGGCTCAAGCAGCTAAGGCGCCAACCACTACACCTGAGCTGGAGGGTTTGAATCCAGCCCGGGCCCACCAAACAATGATGGCTACAACCAAAAAATCGCTGGGTGTTGTGGTGGGAGCCTGTAGCCAAGTAGTCCCAGCTACTTGGGAGGTGGGGGCAGGAGAATCGCTTGAGCCCAGGAGTTGGAGGTTGCTGTGCGCTGTGATGCCATGGCACTCTACCCAGGGTGACAGCTTGAGGTTCTGTCTCAAAAAAAAGAAAAGGAAATTATTTGAGTCTGCTTTGGATTTCAATTTGTGGTCCCTATGCCAGGACCACAGGAAAAGTCCCACAGAACCTGGTGAAGGAGGCAGGATGGAGGTGGGCAGCTTAAAGGGCAGGGAGAGGGATGCGCACACTGCAAGTGGCAGCAATGGCTATGGACATGATCAGACTCAGGCCAGAGCCAGGAAATAAGAAATCTTCATTTTAACCAATACCAGGTAACCTCAGAGTTTGAACATAAGAGAAATTTTATTTAATCTTTTTAAATGCAATCTAGTTTTAAAAAAAGTTGGGAAGTTAAGAGGGTAGAAAGAACATAAAAACTAAGACAGACAGGAGGGAAGGCGGTGGCTGGTCAGTGGCTTCTGATCAGATCTTCTCCATCTTGGAAATGAGGTCATCACAGATCCTGGTCAGCTCGTCATTTTCTTTAGTCTGAAGGAGAAAAACTGAGTAAGTAGGTCCTTACAGAATATGCTTAAGAGGGGCAGTGACAGGCCCCCAATGTGCATCCCACCTTCTGCTCCACCATCTTCTCTAGAGAGTGGCTCCGCATCTGCTCCTTCCTCAGACTTGCCTGCAAGGCCAAGGCCTCTGCTTTGGCCTTGCTCCGGACCTGGGCAATCTCTTCATTTGCCCTAGAGAGGTGAGGGCAGAGGCTGAGTCCAGGGGACTGAGGGACCAGATTCTCCTTCCTGGGGCCTCCCTCATTTTGATCACTCACAGCTTAAGCTTCTCTTCTGCTTGGGCCTTCAGTGCTTGGTACCTCTGGCCCTCCTTGTCAATCTTCACCAAGTATTCCTCAACGCACCTCTTCAATGACTCTTCATTCTTTAGGAACAAGAGTAGACATTAACCATTAATGACCTAAGGGAGTTGGTCCAGGCTTGGCATTCAGGCACCCTGGGGGTCAGGTGCAGGCTGTAGAGGTCTTGAGGTCTACCTTCAAGGATGTCTGAGGTATGAGCAGTGAAAAGACCCCTCACCACTCTCACACATACCCCTAGCCCACCTGTCAGAGGCTCTAGATGGTCCAGGCTCCCTGTCTTCTGGGGGGCTGGTTCTCATCCTTGGACCCTTACCAGCTGTTGCCCCCTCTTGCCACAACTTCTGCCAGGACCTGCATCAGGCACCAGGAACACTGACCAACCCACCCCTGGGCGTCTCCCCCGTAACCTGAGTGCTCTGCTTTGGGGGCAGCAGGGGCTACCTGATACCCAGACATGCTACTCCCCGCAACCCTACAGGGGCCCCACTCACTGACAGAGGAGCTGCCAGTGGGCACAGCCCTGCAGGGCAGAACCTGGCAGCCAACACCGGCCTTTTAGTCCTGGCTTCTCTCCTTCAGGGTCCCCACCCCAATTTCTCTCCTGTTGGGCTCCCTGCCCCCACAGCCTGGTCACCTAGGCTTCCCACCTAGTCCCAGCCTGGTTTGCTGGAGGCTTTAAAGCTGTTCTGCTGAGGTTCCTGCCTCTGGCTAAATGTGCAGCTATGAAGCTGCTAACCATCTACCTGTAGCTGAGGGGTCTAGCACATGTGGGTTAGGCCTGGGGGCTCTGGCCAGAGTCATCCTCTTCTTCCCAGGGTGAACATTCAAGGCAGCCAGTGTGAACTGTGTTGGATGAATTTTTAAATTTGGTAAGTGTATTTCTCAGTTCAGAATTCCTAGTTCTGCAGTCTGTAGTGACACATTTCTCTGAATATGTGATCTGTAGATCCCAGGTGGGATTAAATGCAGAGAAGCCCCCAGGACAGGGAGGAGGTAGCCAGGGAGAGCCATGATTCAGGTCTGCCTGGGAGACTCGAGGTCAGAGATGCAGATAACAGCATGGTGGTGGAGGGGGCCCTCATGCCTATGACACCGTCCAGGGGTCCTGCCTCTCCCTGCCATACCAGTTTTACCAACTCTGATCCCTGAGGCAGATCGCTCCTGTGGGGCTGATTCTATGACTAGTTCTAATCTTCAGGTGTCTTTCCTGCCTCCTAATACCTGGTCATCCTGCGCAGGACATTACTTGTAAACCATTAGCAGCAGCAATCAGAGGTTTAAGGTACCCCTGTGTTGGCTCCTCTATCGCGGTGGACTTGTTATTCAGAGCGGACAGTCCAGACGCTGCAGTGGCCTGGGACCCCTTCTAGAAAACAGGTTCTCCCCTGTGACGGGCACAGCTGTATCCCCTGCACCTGCCACGGCTGCACCGTCACACCATCGGCGCCCTCCAGTGCGACGTCCCCCCCCCCCCCACATGAATGCTGCTCTGCTCATCCGTCCTCCCACCGTTAGCCAAAGCCTTGCAAACCAGCTGTGTCATGTGACTCCCACACCCCAGAGTGGCCCATCCTGTTCATTAGACACCCTATGCCCCACAGCAAGGAAAGGTTGAGCACAGGACCAGGGCCTATTGGTATGGACTGTGAGGCCCTGTGAGTCCACATGGTGAAGACGCAGGGCAGAAGGATGTACCTTGCGATAGCCTTCAATCACCTCCTTCTGCTTCTCAAATCGCTTGAAGAGGTCGGAGAAGGACTTTTCCATGGAGTTCAGATCTGCAATAAGTTGCTCTTTTTCTTTTAGAACCTTCTGGATTTCAGCTTGGGCAAGGTCTTTCTGTTTCTGAGCTTCCTCTTGGGAGACAAAAACCAAACATTTAGGATTAGAGAGGACCTAAATGCTGGGGTCCAGAAACAGCCAAGAAAATAAAGCAAGGAAACTGGATGCCAGGAGGAAAGGCAAGGAGCTCAGGGGAGAGCCACTGTAGATGCAGTCCCTGATCAGTTGTCCCCTCAAGGTGGTGAGCCCCTTTTCCACCTGTGATCTTCCAGGTGGAAAGCCCAGACACAAAGCCCAGAACACAGCTGTTCCCTCAATGTTAGCTCCACGGGGCCCAGAGGGAGTAGTCAGTGAAGCCCAGGGTGCCACAGCAGAGGTTGCTAAAGAGGGTCAGAACTTGGACACCCTCAGGGCATATGGTACAACCTGTAAGCTAGGAGCTGGTGTGGTGGGTGCCAGTCTGCTGGCTATGCTATTGCAGCGCTCTCAGAGATAGGGCTGGGGAGTTATCTTGCTCCTGGCTGACAGCTAACCTGAGCAAGGTCTTTGTAGGGACACTTGCAGGAGCCTGAGCCCTTATCCTAGGATAGGCCTGGTTCTAGCAGCAGCCATGAGGGATGCCATCAGTTTCCCATTACACAGGTGTCATTAGCCTCACTGACTGCTGGCTTCTCCTTAATTTGGAACCTGGGTGATCCCACAGTGAGCCTACCATGAGGGGATACTTGTGTGTTGGGAAGAGGGACCCTGGGATGATAGTACTAACCTGGCCCCAATGAGTGCCCACTGGCCTGTGATGTCATGAGGAGGTAGGGGAGGGGAAGAGGCCAGCACTTGGCAGAGGTGTGGCGCCCCTTGGGTGGCCTAGGCACTCACCCATTGCCTGGTACACGACTTCCTCAAACCTGTCCATGATCTTCCTGTGGGACAGAACAGATGAGTGTGAGCTTCTGTCACTAGATAAGCCTGGGTCAGAGCTGGTATAGGGCTGTGAGATTTACCCTAGCTCCACATTTCTCCTGTGCAGCTCCTCACACTTGCTTTTCAGCTCCAGGTTCTCCTCCTGTGCTGCCTTTACCTGTGCAAACCACATACCTGAGTCAGCAGGTGGGACCCCGAAACCCCCCCCTTCCATGGTGTGTGCCTCCCATGAGGACCTGACTGTACCCAGGCCCAAGGTCTCTGGGGCCACACTGCCATGTCACGGTTCCACATGGGGTTTCCAGGGGCACCCTAGGAGCCCTGGTAGGGCCAAGGCCACCTGCTCTATGCAAGTTAGGTCACCATGAGGCCAAGAGGCATGGAAACCAGTAGTCATGTAATGAGTCCAAGTCCACTGGTCAGGGCCCCATGGACTCCTTTGACATAATTTTAGTTAACTTGGTGGGCAGGCAGGGCCCAGAGACCCTGAGGCCTGCCAGTGCCCAGCAGCGCAGGCCTGTAGGGTAAAGGAAGGCAAGGCCAGTTCTGAGGGCTGGACTGGACACAGTGGGCCTCTGAGCTTACTCTGGGGTCACTCAGATGGGTTCCAACATAGTACGGGGGTTGTGGGGACCTGTTGGGTCTGCATTGCAGGCCTGAGGAAAACTTGGGGGCTAAAGTCCCAGCCAGGTCAGCTGTCCTGGGCCACCCATACCCCCCTCTCTCTGGGGACTGCTGGAAAGATGGCAGTTAAGAGTGGTCCCTAAAGACACTAGCCCCTAGAGTAGTGGTTCTCAACCTTCCTAATGCTGTGACCCTTTAATACAGTTTCTCATGTTGTAGTGACCCCCAACCATAAAATTATTTTCATTGCTACTTCATAGCATGTAATTTTGCTACTGTTATGAATCATAACGTACATATCTGATATGCAAGATGGTCTCAGGTGACCCCTGTGAAAGGGTCATTTAACACCCAAAGGGATCTCAACCCACAGGTTGAGAACTGCTGCCCTAAACTATCTCCAGCTGAGGTGATTTAAACAGGCTGAGCCTTAATATGCCTGGTGAAGATAGAGGGGACAGAGGGAAACATGCAGAGGGCCGTAATCCTGAGGCATGGAGGTGGGGCTCCAGCCACCCAGACAGGTCTGTACTGGCAGGGGAGGGGAGGCCAAGAATGGGCCACACCTGGGCCCAGGGCAGCAAATGCTACCCTCAAGGCTACAAGATCACCCCAAGAGGAAGCCAGAGTCCAGGCTGTCTGAAGACTCCATGTGGGAGAGATGGCTTGTGGGCAGCTACCCGCTTAGATGCTGGACAGAAACCTAGAATTCTCAGATACTTGAGCAGCAGTGGTGGGCTAAGGGGTTGGGGGCCAGTAGCTGAGGCCACAGGCACCTGTGACCTACCTGGAAGACCAGGAGTATGCCTGTGCTTGGTTCCACCCGTGCCTGGCCAGCCAGTCCCTAGAAAAGCCCACTAGTTTTATAGAAGAGCCACCCCCATGTCCTTACGGCCATGTCTAGGTCCTTCTGGCTGTACTGCAGCAGGTCCAGGATAGGCCCCGTGGAAGGCAGGGGTGGACCCCCAGGCCCAAGGATGCACAGGGATGGGCCCTGCACCTGCAGGGAGATGGAGATGAGGAGGCTGTGTGCTGGGAGAGACAGGGAACACAGCCTGTAATGCACCCGCCTCCCAGCTCTGACCTGCCCTCAGGGAGGGAAGGTCCATCCAGCTGACTTCATGGAGATGGTACAGAGAAGGACCTGTGACAAGCCCAGGTCTGTCAAGAGGCTGGTGCCCCCCCACTCCACCCCACCGAGCCAAAAGCTCTAACCTCCAGAACAGAACACAGCCCCTAAACCAACACATGTCTCTTCAGACTGCAGAGACCACTCAGGAGGAACTGAAGTACTTACAGGTGCATCCAGTGCTCCTAAGAAGTCAAGCTCCACAAGGGTGGCTTCTGGTGGGTTTCCTGAGGAAGGCTGGTCCTTGTCTTGCAAGCTGAGGCCAAACAGAGCAGGCTAGTCACCACAGATTCTTTTAGTACCAAGCAGGACTTAAGCACAGGTGTGCCCAGTCTGATCAAACTCGGCGCCTGTGGCTCAGTGCTAGGGTGCCAGTTGCATACATTAGAGGTGGCAGGTTTGAACCCAGCCCAGGCCTGCCAAAACAATGACAACTACAACAAAAAAACAGCTGGGCAGGGCAGCGCCTGTGGTTCAGTGGGTAGGGCGCAGGTCCCATATACCAAAGGCCAAACTGCAAAAAAAAAAAAAAATAGCTGGGCGTTGTGGCAGGCACCTATAGTCCCAGCTACTCAGGAGGCTGAGGCAAGAGAATCATCTAAGCCCAGGAGTTGGAGGTTGCTGTGAGCTATGATGTCACAGCACTCTACCTAGGGCGACATAATGAGACTCTGTCTCAAAACACCGATTTCTAGGTTTGCAGTAGAAATTGCAGAACTGTGTCCAGCAAACCCAGGTCCCGCTACCCTAGCCCCTCCCCTCACACGTGCCTGTCCCTCCCACTGAGCTCTGCCTACTTTAGTGCCACTGCAGACTGGGCTGAGCTGGTTGTTGCCTTATTTGTGTGATCACTCATGGCCAGAAGCGTAATTTCACAATGCAATGCAGCAAACCCCTCCCCTTCCCCCAGCTTCATGGCTTCCATGTAAGGCCTCTAAATGCACTGTGTTTCCTCCCAGAGCAGGGGGCAGCCCATATTTTCCACAAAGGGCCTGACAGTACCATTTAGGAGGTGAAGGTCACACAGCCTCTCTCACAACTGCTCCGTGTAAAAGTGGCCATGTGTCAATAAAACTTTATGTATAAACTGTATATATATATTTTTGTGGTGGAGTATGGCCCACAGGTCAGAGTCTGATCTTTGTTCTAGAACAAAGAACTAGAACTAGCTGGTTCTCAACCTTCCTAATGCCACGGCCCTTTAATATAGTTCCTGTGGGTCTCAACCCACAGGTTGAGAACCACTGTTCTACAGTAACTACATAACAAATAAGTTTAGGTCTTTAATCCACACAGAATGGCATCCATAATGAGCATGACGGCCCCTGTGATTGGAGGGCAGGTCCTTGAGGCACCTACCAAGGAGCCCAGGGTGCTGCTCACAGTCCCTCATGCCTCATTTCTAATTCAGATTGTCCCCTTAGTCTGGAAGTCTCTGATCAAATGGCAACCTGGGAACAGCCACCCATCTCCTTAGCCTGTGCTAAAGGCCCCAGAGATGGGGCAGGTACCTGTTTGGCCCAGTGGTCACAGCCTCTGGTCGATGAGGACTGTCCTTCAGGAGTGGGTCAAACTTGAGATATAAGGACTGCTTCCTCAAGGCTGACTCCTTAAACTGGGGAAAGACAGGGCAAGTTAGCAGGTATCACTGTTGTCCTAGAATAGAAGTCCTGAGAGCCCTGGGGTGAGTTGCCCACTAGGCCCATCCCTGCCTCTAGTCACCCACAACCCTGTCCAGGGGCCACTGTTCCTGGCAGCACATGTTCAGTTTGTTATGGGTGAGCACCTTGGTTGGGACTCGGCTAGGACGCCAGGCCACCATGTAAAGGAGAAACTGTAGGAAAAGGGGGCCTCAGAGAGACTCAGGATGAATCATGCCTATTTGCAGTAAGGAGAAACTTAGGTCCCCAGTGATGCCCCACAGTGAAGAGCCATCTGGCTATTTTGGGGTGATGGGGGGAGCTGTTCTACGGACACGTGCTGCAGTGAGGCTGCCACCACAGTGCAAGGAGACTCACCGAGGAAGCTCCAAATTGCTCCAGGTAGTCCACCTCAGCCCCGGTGCCTAGAACTGAGAGGGAGCAGTCACTGCTACTGTCACTGTGTCCCCATACCTGGGGATGTCCTGTGGTGCTCAGTAAGCAATGACCACATTCTCTGTGTTTGGTGGGACAAACACAGAAGCATTCCCAGCCTCCAGGACAGCAGCCTCCTCACCTGGGGCCAAGGATCTTTTGCCTAAGGTGGCATTTCTCACCTGCTGCCTGCTCTGGGGCCTGGGTACTCCTGCAGCGTGAGTAGCATGGCTGGCTCAACCCACTTGATGACAGAGGTGCCCCCACCCTCCAGCCTGACAAGCAATAACATGCCTGGGGGCAAAAGTACCTTAGTTGACAATTACTGTTTAAAACTGCCTTAGGAAAAAGTTTTAGGATCTGATATAAACTTTGGTTAAAAAAAAAACAAAACCTAAGAGTAAGGTGAGTGCGGATGCAGAACAATCACTAGAGCCCAGGAACTCAAGAATACAGCGTGCTACATCTATGCCTATTAGCAGAGGGGCATAGTGAGATATTTCTAAAGATATTTCTAACAAATACCAATTAAAAAAACACACAAAAACTAAGGGTAC